ATAAGTATAATTTTGATCACTTTCTTCATGTGTTCTGAGCCCTAGTTCGTCAAGCCCAATTTCGAAAACGTGTAGCCGGCACAATTTTCAAGTCCATCATATTCCACATCTTTGAATGGACTGATAAAACCAGTGTTGGGCAACTTGGTGCTTTTGGCACTCAATTTTATTGCTTTTCTTTATTCAAAAGGCGAAATTTTTTGGGTTTAGTGCTTGGTGCGTTTTTTTGGTGCTTTTATTTTCAGTTTGAAGACACCAAATCTGTAAATCTTAAAAAAGGGCGGCAAAACTTATAGCAATTGTAAGTTTGTAAGCAACTTTACAAAAATCGTCGAGCAAAAAACAATGGTTTTTATCAATTTGAATCTGCATCACTACAATACAATTTTTCATGCATACAAAGTCCATGAAATCCTCCAATAAAAAGTTGGTGCTTTTTTAGAGAAAAAACCCGATTTTTCTTGGGTTTTAGTGCTTTTTCAAATGCAAATCTTGGCAACCCTGGATAAAAACTTCTGCTAAAACAAAAAACCTTTTAGTGATCTGGTAGCATGAATTTGATGAAATGTCATAATTTTATTAAAAGCAAATGGTTAACAACAACAACGAATGTCATTAAATGGAACTACCTTCTTTTTTGCATCATGATGTAGCCCACTTAATTTTGGTATAATAAAATGAAATTTTTAAGTTGGTAAAACATCCCGCTGATTTTTAACATTTTTCTTGCTGACAGTGTCACGCGTTTTCTTCCATATAAAAAAAAAAATTCTACCGTACTTTGGAAATAAATGCGTTACCAATCAACTGGCTGAATTAAATTCTATTTTTCATTGTCACTTGAAAAAATTATTATTGTTTTTAATAACTTTGGGAAGTTTTCAAATAGAATGTTTATATCTGTGAAGTTTCAAGAGGGTGCCACCTAATTAAAAAAGATGTCAGCAGCTATTGTGTAATTTTTGAAATTTTACAATTTTTTTTATTGAAATAATTTCAGATACCTCAACTTTTATTGACACACTCGAAATTCATTCCAAAATTTTTATATACACGAAGAAAATAATACGTATATATGTACATATGTATGTATGTGTATAAGGAATACTGTATAAAAATCTTCCACGCCAATATTTAATTGCTTTTAAATTATATGACTTTTAAGTTGAGGCGTGCGAGTAAACGTGGTAGCTGACTGTGTATGGTGCTACGGGGCCTATAACTACGCGTGTATGAGCACGAGTTTTACTTTGTTTACTACAATATTTTTTAAGTTTTCATTTAAATACAATTTCACCGCAAAACGGAAGATAATGCATTGTCTAACATGAGTGTGCCACCATTTTCGATCAAAAACACGTTTATGCCGAAAAATGTAACAACTCGTTAGATTTGCGCATATGTATGTATATGTATATGCAAATTCACATAACTCAAACTTAAAATTCAAAAAGGCAATATTATTTACTAGCCAAAATGAACTGAAATCATATTGACATTATATTAATGTTGCTTGATTTCTATTTGTAGAATAATTCATAAATATGTATGTACATATGTACATACGCGTGCATACATTCAAGTTAAGAATTTATTTTTAGCCTACGCGTCTGCACCTTTTTGCCACATTTTCTCTTATTTCATGCCAAAGAAAAATGCACTGCTGCAAGTCAGCCAATCTGACGAAAAATAAAAGTGAAAACGTTGCTATGAATCATTCACAGTATATTTTTGTATATGCACGCACCTCTTTGGGTATGTCGGGGAAGGGATATTTTTGGGCCTAAGTGTATGAATGTACATTTGTACATCGCATATGCATGTACATCCGCAAACTGCATATGCCACCAGCACCGCCAACACCAACAGCATTTGGCAGCCCAACAAGTCTGCCACTCAGTGGGGCAGAGTCTCAGTTAGTGAAAAAAAGATAAACATAAATTTCATGTTTACGCAAAAATTTTCGTGCGTGGCATGATCGAAGTAAGAATTAACACCAAAACATGAAACAGGGAAAAAAGAACCTCAGAAAAATCCATTGCATTGCAACTCGTGCGGCAACTGCTGCGTTGAAAGCAACATAAGTGGCTGCAACGTATTAGTTAGGGAGGAATATTTATTTTTAATACATTAAAAATACTTTTCGCAAATATGCCACTTTAATTTGCGCATGTAATTTGCAAGCTTGTATCACATTGTATAGTAAAATGTGGGAATCATCAAAGATCATAAACAAATGAGAGATGAAAAGTAATAGTAATAGTGTATGTAAACACATGGTATGTAAACTTTGTAGATAGAACTCGGTTAAATGTACTGATGAACATATCTGTGTTCGTATGAAAAAGTAGCTTATGTCGAAAGGCTGGCTTTATTATAAATCGGCATTCGCAGCATACGATTGCGAATGACTCACTGGCGCTGAGCTGTTGTAGAACTTTTGGCAAATAAACGTGCAAGAAGTACTTCCGCTACCAGCAAGTGAATATTCTTGTTAAGTCTCATCAAAAAATTCCTTGCCGTTTAAAGAGTAAAGGGAATGCCGCATTATACTAAAGCCAGCCTTTCGACATAAGCTACTTTTCCATATGAACACAGATATGTACATCAGTTTATCTTGAAAAGAATGGCATTAACTATCAGCCTTATCATGACTTTCATTTTCGCACAAAATCGTTCACTTTTCGCTTTTCCCTTCCGTGTAGTTCACTATGGGCTGATGAAAAAAATTGGGGTGAATTTGTTAGCAAAAAACGAATGATAAGAGGTGTGTGGTACCAACCGTTGAGGATCGGTTTCAATACCTAATGCGATCAACGTCCAAATAAGAAGTGGAAAGGCAAACTTCCGATTGTATTTCTGATATGAAAAGTTTCCCATAAAAATCATTTGAAGTTCAGGGGTGGCATGAAATAGTAACTAATTCCTTCTTAGAGACAGAACATTTATCAAAATCAAAAGTATTTGATGCCCTTTTTTGATAGATGTGTATCTAGAACAAGAAAAGGTGTAAATAGATATTAGTTGTGTTCGTTTGGAAAAGCAAGTAAGAATTAGCCAGTAACAAAATTCAGAGAATAAAACTTACTCTCCCAAATAGAGAAACTTACTAAGTTTAGCGCGAACAGGAATTTGCAAGCTTCAGTGCCAGCTGGCGTCCACGGTTGCATTTCGAACTAATATTTTTTTTTTTTAATGGAAAACAATGGAGGACATATACGTATATTTCTTCTTATTCTGACTTTCTTCAACATACGCTTGAATTTCTTTATGGTAGTCACTGTCGGATTCCCTATATCGACAGTGGTGTCGACTTCGTCCCGATTACGAATACAGCTTTTTCATTAGAGTACCTTTGAAATCTTTGGAATTAATTAAATTAATTGAATAAACAGATATTTATATACTTCTTTCATTAATAAATCGCGCCAAGATTGTACATTTTTAAATTTAACGAATTTGCAACGTCCCCTCCAAATGAAATGTCAAAATTCTGCTATCCTTGCAAGTTTTATTAGTTTTTTGGCCAAACGAACTCGAGTTGGTAACAATTGGTACCAACTTGTACAAGTTTTTTGCAAAGCGAACAGAACATTATTTATTTAAATACAATTAAAGGATTGACAAGACGTGTTAAGCGTTTGTATTTATGTGTTTAAGTCTTAAAAATTTTCAACGTAAAATAATGGTTGAAGTGGTTTTAGGAATTTATTACTAGACCAAATTGCTTTTAAACTGATAGAAAAGATATATTTAGTTGCTGTCTTCTAAGCGTTACTTTACATATCGTTACCTTAATATAGAAAGGCCCTATCTGACATCGTCGCTGATTTACAAAAAGTCGTAACTAACTAAAAATCGAAAATTTACGTTTTAATTGATTATGATGCATTTGATCGAATTATGTGGCCTCATATCGTTTTATGCAATAAAAGATTTTAATTAGTTACGGCTTTGTGCATTTCAGCGACGTTGTGAGATAGGGCCTTTCTATATTAAGGCAACGATATACAAAATTTTACAATGCAACGGCCTTGTGAATCCCATAAATATCTGTTTAAATTTTATAATAATGTAGGGAATATTGCGGTGAGATATTTCGTTGCTCTTAATAAATAATAAATATTCAAATAGAAACTTTACCCGACACACAGGGCAACACTAGGGGGTAATTCACAAGTAATTTAACTGATGTAATGTTGGAGAAAATATTATAAACTGCAGAATTGAACCGCTCAGGAACAATTTTTTAAATGCGTTGGATAAGGAAGTATTCGAAAGAATTTAAGGAAGCTTTAAGGACCTTCACGCCTTGCTTTGCAACATGGACATTATGCAACGAATTGAAATCCAGCGACTCTGCTTGAGCCCTAAAGTATTCAACTCGAAATCCGCTGGTGATAACAGAAGAGGAACGCCTCCGATAGAAATACCAGGTGTAAAAGGACTGGTCTCCACTTGACATTTCCAATTGGCGTACTTTATTGAACTCGACCTATTACTATTATATACAGAAGATGAGGCAATTCCCTATAATCGACTGTATCGAAACCACCCTTATAGAAACAAAACGGACAAGTATTATGTGCACATCTGCGATTGACTGTGGGTAAAGGAAAGTATATACGGCTGAAGCCAGGTGCTCTTGTAAGTATAAATGTATGTACATATGTCACTGAAGCATTTCATTTTGATTTTCGATATAAGAACTACAACAATAAACACATTTCAATCGTGCTACCTATCAACTTGATCTCCCCAAAACTAATAGAAACGAAGTGAATGGAAATCCATAATGGGTTATGCTATGTTACCAAATCGGCCCCAGAAATACGTATAAGGACCTTCACATCAGCTTACCCCAAGAACAACAACCCGAGATAGATTAACAAGGTCAACGCAAATAATCTTTACATTTTCCCTATAAAACAATCCTACACATCCCTGATGCAAAACCAAAAACATGCAAAAACCAAAAATATATAACCAAGTATACCAACCAAAGGATATACACCCTCAAAGGATCTCAAGTTATAAGGGAATGAGCAAATCGTTAACCAGACGCGAATCCTCTAGTATGTGCACCAGGCAAACACAACGTCTATTCGGTCAGCAAATCCACTGCTTATGACCTAGGGCGCTAACCTAAGCAAGAAATTGGATATTAATAGTGAAGAGATCGTGAAATAAAACTAGACTCACTTATTTTGTAAATAAACGCCGAATAACAAAATAAATAAATCAAATTCCTCAGCAGCAGCACATTTTCGTCGTATTTTAGTGAAAAATCGAAATGTCAAATTTACAGCAAAACAGCTGTGTATAGCATTTGGCAGTGATGCCATGTTGGCTCCACCATAAATTCACAGTGCTACACGCATTGAACATACTCGGTCTGTTAGAGATGGGCAGTTTTTATTAACCGAGTACTTGCAAAAGCTGTGTCAATGCGAATTTATACAAGGTGGTGTTGATGGCGAATCCTCCGCCATTGGGATTTCTTTAAAATAGGTTTCTCTAGAAGCAGTTATGGTGCCAACGCTCCGATCTCTAGAACGTGTGCTGAACTTAACCTAGTCTTCAATGCTTTAGACATTGATTTCTCACAATCAGGCCCTGCCTTGGTTACACATCTGCGAACATTTTTCTCTGCGCTACACCACTGGCGATGTATTTAATCTTAGCTCTTGTGAACTTAATGTATTTAAAATTTAAAATTTATCTTAATTTTTAAGTTTTAGTAGCACTTAATTAGTGTTAGCTGAGTAGTCTGTAAGAATAATCTGTATTCCAAGACCGAAATATATATCAAAATTAATTTTAAAGATATGTGAATTAATTAATTAGTGATAAATTTCGGGACCCACGGGACCCGCGGTATAATTCTGAAAAACGTCGGAATGGGCAAGTTCGGTACTTAAAAATTTAATTCCGGGATGGGCGGATCGGGATTGAAATTTTTGTCCCGTGCCCATCTCTAGTACGAACCGTAGAATCTAAAACAATTCCCATATAAAAATTTAAGGTTACCGTTAAATTCTTCATGATCCAATGATCCGATCTAAACCCAATTAGTACGTATTTTTCTCGGGTTTTCTCTTTGTCGACCCTCCCAAAATTCTCATCTGGGATTTCCGCTCAATATGAACTAAACAAACGAGTTCTAAAATTTTTGTTGTAACCGATACATAATTTCTGAGGGAAACCCTTGGCCGGAAATAAATCTTTGCAGTTACGGTTACTTAGCCACACTTAAAAGCTAACCGATATCGAAATATGTAGTCATCCGTTGAATGTGTCATATTACCTCCTGACAAATGATCTATTACATCGGTTTTGGGTTAAACTCCAATGTGGTTTTGCTCTGTTCTGTTCTAAGCCGTTGGATTAGAATTGTGAAATGATAAAATAGTGATAAGGAGTATATCAATTCTATAACAGTAGCGGTAACGCGGATGATTGCAATGGTATGACACAGAAAAAAATTGCATTCCATTTCAGTTCTTTTTTTTAGTTGTTAACACCAACTTTCCATCACGGATTTCAACACTTATCACATAATAACCCGCAGAATATTTTACTTTACTTAAAATTACATCACTTAACCGCGATTAGTTTTCAAAAAAGTTTTATGAAGCTTGCTTTTATGGTATGTATACTAGTAAAAATATATATCCTTCCTTAAAATTTTTAAAAACTCTTATATCAAAATATTAAGCACTTACCGGAATTTTGGATGTCCTTAAAAACTCCAACAATGCTTCCAGCGAACCCAGAGTGGAAGCTTGCACGTATACACCAGTTTGTGCAAGTTTTATATGACTTAAAGCGCTCTTCAAATCACGCGCCACTTCTTCCCTGCAATCGTTCAAAGCATTCAAATACTTAGTTTGCCAAACAACAAATCTAATCAGAGGTAAATTACTTGCAAATTTCGACTTCATCTGGTTTATTGGCTATAAGCAAATTAATACCAGCAATAGCCTTTTCCAAGTCTTTAGCAGCAATTTTGACACCCTGCGCCGCCTTTACTTCTTTGTATTCAATGTATGCATTTTTAACACGTAACTCCTTCATTGGTTGTGGCATCAATAGAGAACGTATTTGTGTGACAATTGGCCCATCTGTACCGGCTAATATCATGGTTTGGCCTTCTCGCAGTTTTCCATTTATTAAAATGGCATCGATTGTAGTACCCAGACCCGGAATGGCTTTGACTTCCAGTACTGTCGCTTGTAATTCCTCCGAGTACATCAAGCGTTTAGCCAACATCTTTTGGCAAAACTCAACTATAAGAAATAGTAGATTACCCATACCTTCACCGGTTATAGCACTGGTGGGCACCAATGAAACATAAGTCTTCGGGTCGGGATTTTCATAGAACAGCGCTGCGTTAAGACCCTGTTCAGCAAATTGAAGAATCACCTCTTTCGAACGCTGCTTAAACTCAAGCTGGGTATTAGCTTGCTGCTCTTTGATTACATCGCGTACGTCGCGTCGCGCCACTACTTTCCAGTCGTACAATCGATCAATTTTATTCAGAGCAACTATGAAGGGACATTTCTTTTTCTTAAGCAAATTTATTGATTCGATAGTTTGCGGCTCCAGGCCGTGCATAATATCCACCACTAAAATGGCAATATCACAGAGTGATGATCCACGATTTCTTAAATTGCTGAACGATTCGTGACCGGGTGTATCAATGATCAATAAGCCAGGCAATCTAAACTCGAAACTAGACGAATTAAAAACCGGCTTAGTTTGTTCTTTTATTGCATCGATTGGTACATTAGTTGCACCGATCTGCTGGGTAATACCGCCCGCCTCGGAGTCCTGTACATGGGTGCGACGCAACTTGTCGAGAATTTTTGTTTTACCTGTGTCGACATGACCAAGCACACACACTACAGCGGCACGCAAATCATCTACCGTACGTTTTTTCTCTGCATCGTCTTGGCGCTTTAGGATACGCGCTTCTGCTCGTAAACGACGTGCTTCGGCATCATTCGCATTAATAGCTTCCTCCTTTTCTGATTCGGACGCTGAGCCTTCAGATTCATCGTCAGAATCATCATCTTCGTCCGACTCATCATCAGAGGATTCATCAGCATTTGCTGCTGCGCCAGTGGTTGCTGTTTCGCCACCGCTATTGGATTTTTCATCATTGTTCGTGGTAGTGGTTGTAGCTTGCGAAGTATCATCATCACCATTTGCTTCTTCCTCTGAATCACTTGCATCCCAAGATTCTTTTACAACTTCTTGTTTTTCTGCTGCCTGTTGTTGAGCATTGGCGGCTGCTGCGGCCACTTCGGCAGCCTTAGCTTCAGCTTCTGTTTGTTCTTGATTTGCTGGGCCCTTTTTCTTTGGACGTATGCGAGTACCTGTAAGTATATGATTAAATTATCTAGAGAGAAAATAAAACACTTTATTTTACCTGGTCGAGCTGCTCGTTTTTCACTTGGGTCTGGAATTTCCAGGCCTTGTGCCTTCAAAGCCTCTAGCATGGCCTGGGCACGAGCCCGCTCCTCTTTCTGTTTCTTAGTCAAGAGTTTTCCTTCGGCTTTAAGGCGAGCTTTTCTTTCTGCTTCTTTTTGCTTCTTCTTTTCTTTTCGCTCAGCTTCTAGTCTTATAGCTTCTAAACGAAGTCGTACGCGTTCTTCTTCTTGACGGATTCGTTCTTCTTCAATTTGTCGTTGCCGCTCTTCTTCCTCTTTGATTTGCTTCAAGCGTTCTTGCATAGCAGCCACCATAGCCGCAGACATGCCCTTCTTTTTACCATCCTTCTTACTTTCTTCCTCTTCTGCCTTTTTATCCTTTTTGGCTTTCTTTTTATTCTTTTTGTCCTTGGCTGTTTCTTCATCTGCACCTGCCCCAGCTTCTTCATTGCCGGCTCCATCATCGCCAACTTGTGGTTCCACCGATGGTGCTCTAGCTTCAGTCTTTTCTTGCACAATTGGTTTTTCGCTCGTCTCAGATGTATTTTCACTAGGAGCATGCTTTGATTCTTGTGTGCCACGTTGCTTGGCCAAAGCTGCTTCACGTTTTTGTCGTTCTTTCTTTTCTCTCTTTTTCTGTGCAGCTGTCTTCACCGTACCGCTTTCCTCATCGTCGTCATTATCAGCAACCTCCTCTGCTGCAGCTGCTGGTGTAGGTTCACCGGCTTTTTGCTGTTTGCCTTTGTTTTTTTTATTTTTGTTGAATTCTTCATCGCCCAAATCATCAGGAGAAACAACATTCGTTGTTTTTACTACTTCGGTTGGTGCTTCTCCTGCATATTCTGCTTGTAGTTCTGCTAGTATTTTGTCCAAATCTTCATCCTCATCATCCTTTCCTTTCCTTTTAGACTTTTTACCCTTTTTACCGGCACTCTTATCTTTTGTAGATTTTAAAGGCTGCTCCTCTTCCTCTTCCGGGTCATCATTCTGAGCTGGCGTATCATAATTTTCATCATCTTCAGCCGCCAGTAGCTCGAATGCCGATTTCTTTTTGTTTTTATTTTTGGATTTTACGGATGTTTCATCTACTTCTTCTCCAGCTTCCTCATCATCGGAACCAATGTGCTTAGGTTTTGCTTTGTTTTTACCCTTTCCTTTTACATCCAATTTCTTCACCGCCGATGCAATGCTCTCCACCTCATCCTCCCCTTCTTCAGAATCCTTGCGATTTTTCTTATTTTTCTTTGACGTCTTTTGTTGATTCTTTTTGTTCTTCAAGCTTACATTGTCCTGTTCAGCATCGGAGTCAATGTTAGCTTCTCGAAGATCGGTTTGTTCCCTACAAATAATATACATATACATATGTATTATATTATTCTTTTTTTTTACTAAATCAGAAAGATTTTGCAATAAGCCCTAAACAAAATTGTCACCAAACGCAAATGCTTTTTGACAACGCAGCAAATCTCCCCTTTCACTGCTTTGGCTATCAAAAACTTGTTTTCACCTGCTTGTGGGACGCCATAACTTTTTCGCACATTTTCCACCGCATTGAATCCTATACGAATTTTACCTCTAGTGACATCCTGCGAGTACTTACATTTCATCACCGGACGAAACGCCTCCAACAGCGCTGGTAGCTATCTCTTTCTTGCCCTTTTTAGTCTTAACCATTTTTCCTCACGCAATTTCAACACGTTCAGCCGCCGCTGCTCCACGTAAATGCAAACGAAATAACTCCGCGATTCAGTCAACTTTACTGCTGTTGCGATCTCCTGCTATACTCTGCTGTTAAATTAAAGCAAAAGCTGCTTCACTTAGTGCACTTTTTCCGCAAAAAAGGCGCCTAGTTAATTGATAAAACTTATTTTAAAATATTCGCAAATCACAACGTCTGAGTAAAATGCAAAGCACGTAACTCGATTGGAGAAAAGTGTGGTATCTCAAATGTCAATTGGACGATCAAGCGGATTTTGACGTTGACTTACCAACAAAAATACCAAAGTTGCTAATTGATTTGTCGTTTAGCTAAACAAAGGGTGACTTTGAGCAATTTTCAAGGTATGTCGAAATAAAGATGCAATCAACCATTGCATGCCAGCTATCTCAGCGATTGAAAAGTATAACCAAAGGTGAAATTTTAAGAAGGAACAACTCGTTACTTTTAAAATGTGCCGCAACGATTTGGACCTCCGTTTTGACTCTGTCTGCGGCAGATTTTTGATTTTCGCCTCGAATGCAGAGAATGATTTACCTGATTCTCAAATTCTGGGCACGAAGTGGACTTTGAAAAGCAAACTTTTTTTTTTTCTCTAACTACCGGATCCGGTGCGGATTGTTAGGAAAGAACCTATTGCCAAGTCTGACACACCCTTTAATTTAAGAATATATCCAAATCATTTTTCCATCATTTTAAAAAATATCCCGGAGGCGCCTTATGTTCCATTCGTACTGTTCCGCTAGCACAACGATTTTTTTTGCACTTGTGACGCTTCCTTTTGGTAATCGCGCTCTTTGAATTTATCCTGAATTCGGTAGACTATTAGGTTTTCTTATAAAAAGAAGTTAGCCATAAATTATAGTTTCTTGTATAACATGCACCAACCTGGAAGTATAGCTGAGGAGTTGCCGAGTACATCAGATACAGCCATTGGCGGTGAAGTAAGAATACATATACCATATCCATTGTGCAGGCTTGCAAAAACTGTCTCGTTTGTGCATTTTTCAGGTTAAGAAATCGGACACCCAGACGGATAAAATATTTTCACGTTGTCATTCAATTGTACTTACGGAAGACGAATACAAGCTTACGAATACAGAGACGCAACAAAAGCGGTTGCAGAACCTTCGTAAGGAATTGAATTATATTAGTGAGACAGACTGGATGTACGAGACCGTCGAAAGGAAGGCGGCATAATAGATTTCTAGTTTCGGAGAACACTCATAATTTTGCTATCTATAAAGTTTAAAAGTTATTTGCCAAAATGTTGTCGTTTTTGAAAAACCTCTGGGAGTCGATGGATGCTGAGAAGCAGCGGCAAATGTATGCAGAAAAACTAGAAGAAGAACAACGGCGGCTGGATGCCGAGATTGAAAAGGAAGAGACTGAAAAACTCAAATCTGGCGATGCCTCAAATATGCAAAATGTGCTTGCGTCTATTAACGGAACAAAAAACACTAACACCACTCTCAATAATAAGGAGGATGATACGTGTTTTGAGCGCCTTGGTAATTAAAAAAAAGAAAAATAAATAAGAATATACATATACATGTATTTTTCCAATCTTACCCATACTTTACTATTTTTAAGGCGTGATAACGACATTAAAGAGTAACCATGGTACCATTGACCATTCTATATTTTTCGACATTGACTCTGCTGGTGGTTTGGCTAGTGATTTGAAAGTCGGCTGTCATGTCAAGTATTTAGCATTCCAACAGCTGCATAGTGATCACATCAAAGTAGTTCAAATCAAAGAAGTATCAGAATTGTTTTGGGATGATTCTTTACCTACAGCGGAGAAGGTCAGATAACGCAAATGCGTTTTTAAGTTGCTTACAATAACCACATCACCGACATATTATGAAATAAAATGTACCCTCCTTTATCTTCTCAGATCGATGAACAAATTGCAGAGCTTCGTAATGAAAAACCAACATTTTTTAACACACATCAACGCAATATACTCGGTCTTATTATGGAGCGTAAACCGGGCGCTATAGTCGTTGATACCGAACACAAGTTAATGAATATTAATTTGGACACGGTTGAAATAGATTTTATACCACAAGCAGGGGACCGTGTCTTCATCTGTTGCAATGTACAAAGCGATGAGCATTTCGTGAATCGCCAAGGTGAAGTTTTGCAGGAAGTGAGCGTGCATCCGGCACGTTTACTGAAACAGGAAAAATGCGAAGTGCGGCGTTTGAACGCAGATTGGGGAGTGCTAAACGAGGACTGTTACTTTACCTTCGATGTTGTGCCCAATACCTGTAAGCTTGATGTAGGCGACATCGTCCTGGCCGATCTAATCGAATGTGAACGGGTAAGCAAATATATAACACAAATGTTCCCACTATAGTCGGTTCTACGTACCCAGAATGACCCAGATTTACACCCCTATGCTGTAATCCGTCGTAGATTCGATTTTGCTACGAATCTTAAAATTGGTATGCTGTAATCCGCGTTGCCTTATCGTAATTTCGAAATTCGTAATGTTGGTATGCCTGAATCTGACGTAGCTGTAATTTGTATGTATTTGTCGGAAATTTTCTACGAAGTGCAACTGGTGTCGGAGCGAAGCGAAATATCAATAAAATAAAGTGTGGAAACGCAAAAATATGTATGTAAGTTGAAGTGTGAATAAAAAAAAATGTATTATTAAATGTTTACAAAATTATCAAGTCGACAATCACAACAAATCGCTTGCAATACGAAAAGCTGGTGGAATGCATGAGCGAAAGGCCGAACATTGCCCGAGGCTTTGTAAAAGTAGTTAAAGAGGATGTGGCGGAATTTTGGGAAAGCGTTGCAAGATTTAAGGCAGCACAATATTTAGTTGAATGGACGCCCTTAAAAAGAGGGAGCATATATTTATCATTTAAGCCAAATGGATCAGAACTGTCTCGTAGCAATCTCCTTTGTATATTAATGCAACAGTTGACTGCAGCATGTTCTTCCTCCTGAGACAAAAGTGCACCGGCCAATGAATCCATTCTATTTTACTTAATTAAGTTAAAGCTTTTTCAAATACGATTAAACAATTTTTTTTTACTTTCACTGTTGATAGTTACGATCGGATTACAGCATACAAATTTTCGAATTTTCGGAACGGAGCTACGAATTCGTAACTACGAACTTTCGGATTACATCATAGGGGTGTTATACTTTCGAAATTCAGCCGTGTACCTGCACACAAAAAAAAGTGCGCTGTGCATTTAACTAGACCCACATGCCGACATGTTTTTCGATGCACTGAACCCGAATTTGAGGTCCGTTTCCCTTATACACCTCCTAATTTCAAGTTGATTTCTAAAATTGTGAAACAAATGCAAAAATTTCGCAATTTTCGCAATTTACTCGAAATTTTGGTGCACGAATCAAAGGACCTAATTTTCGGATTCAACGGGTCGAAATACATGTCGGTAGGTAGTCCTGGTTAAATTTACAGATCACTTTGTTTGTGTGAGATTCGTTTGACTCGAACACGAAAATTGCGAATTTTTACAATTTTGTTGTGTTTTCGTAATTTACTCGAAATTTAGGAGTTGTACGAGTCAAACGGGCCTCGGATTCGGGTTCAGTAGGTCGAATGTCCGTAGGTGGGTCTTGTGTGCGGGTGTAATTATAATCTTTCGTTTTATGCATTGCTTGGAACTTAATCGTAATTTGTTTAAATAAATTTATTGATTCAGAAATTATCTGTTTTATTTTTTGCTAAATAAACCGCTCCCGTCCTTAAATTAATCTAATTAAATTAATTAATCACGGTTGTTGTTGTAGCGGCTACTCAACACAGTACCCACTGATGACAGGGGCAATTCCAATCGGAATCATTATCGCTTGACCCGATCCCTGCTCCCTATTAGGGAGCATAACACAATGCTCTGCAAGCAAGTGGTGTCACCGACGTCGGCAGTCTCAAGTTATGTAGACTCCCGCCCTGTGAATGCCGTTCTAGGCACACAACCACCGGGCGTGGACGGGACAGAACTTTGTCTGCCTCGGGAGACCCGCACTACAATAGCCCAACTTCGCTCTGGCTATTGTAGCAGGCTCAACTCCTACTTGAGTAGAATCAACGAGGATGTGCCCAACCAATGCCCGGCATGTGGATAGTCGCCGCATGACTCCCGGCACATCTTCATATGCCCTGAGAACCCCACTCAGCTAACGCCCCTGTCCCTATGGACAGCCCCTGTGGAAGTCGCACACTTCCTGGGCCTCCCCCTAGCTGAAATTGACGACAACGTTGATGGATGAACCACCCCGAACGGGGCTTAGTAGCCGCTACAATAACAACAACAACAACGTCGGCACCCGAACAGACATTTGCTTGCCGAGGAACGGTCGCGACGACACAAGGCATCTATATGAACTGACGGACGAAATCTAGAGGGTCGGAAAACAACCTCTGGATCCGACAGCATACTGACAGGCCATGAGAACGGCATTCACAGGGAGTCAGTCTAGATTTATATAGACTCTCGACCTGTGAATGCCCTTCTGGGCACACAACCACCAGACGTGGACGAGACAGAGCTTCGTGTGCCTCTGGGGACTCAGACTACAATAGCCCAACTTCGCTCTGGCTACTGCAGCAGGTTAAATTAATACCTGAGTAGAGTAAATGGAAATGTGCCAAATGAATGCCCGACATGCGGAGGGACACCCCATGACTCGAGACATCTCTGCGCATACCCACTGAACCCCAGCCTACTAACGCCTCTGTCCTTATAGATAGACCCTATCGAGGCTGCACGCTTCTTAGGTCTCCCGCTAGAGCTTGACGACAACGATGGAGGGACAACAATAACCAGATCCCTGCCAGCTTGTGCAAGTAGCCTCTTACCGTGCAGTGAGCCTCATCTTGGGGACGTTTATGGGTAACCTGTATCTCTCTATTAAGCTACATACATAGGTCCATGTATTGTGCCCTCATTAAAACCAATTTGTTTTTATCAAAAGTTATAACTGTTACAGGTATTTATTAGTTAGTGTTTGCTATATATGTATTTTATAGGATCCATACATTTGGCGCTGTATCAAATTAACACTACTGGAACGTACAGTACCCCAGCCGACTAGCCCGGCTGCTACAGGCCCATCAACAAATGGCGACAGACGCCCAACACCGAATGCCCGCAACGAGAGTAAACATGCAATTACAGTCTCCGAAGATCAACGTTGTGTTTTAGCTAGTACTTTTCAGTCTCAAAAGGTTGAAATGCTCATTAAAAACAATGTTGAGCGTAAATTGCGTGTGCTTTCAATCGAATTTTTGGGTCGTAGACGTGATTCACAAGTTAGACTTGTAGATCCAGATCCCAATGCCACCGCTTTTGAACTCCCAGGAAATAGCAGTCGCACACTAGTATTTGAAGTTGAATCTAAATTCTATGGCGAATCTCGAGAAGTGTTTGTAATTAAATTTGAAACGTTCCGCGTAAAGCGCTCAATTTTGTTGGTTGTGTGCGAGACGGAAGCCGAAGCCGAGGCAGCGCGAGCTCAGCCTACTCATAGCATTACAAATTCATCGAGTGGTAGTTCACATAATTTGCGACAACGTTCCCGTCATTACGCCAATCAAGTGTGGTCCAATAAAGGGGAAGTTATACCAGGCGTTGGTTTGGCAACAAAGCGCCGTTTCCTAGCACATCGCATTGCTTTCTATGAGGTGCCCGAACGTTTGCGTAATACCTACTTGACAGCATCCAGTCGACAGGAAATGATGGATAACGTGGAAAGTATGTTTCCATGCTTGAAAGAAGAACTCAGTATAAAGAATTACGCCATACGGTTTCAAACGCTAGTATATTTAGAGGAAATTGAATATTTTGTGAATTTCCGAAACTACGATCGTGAGCGTGCGCATTTTACCCGCGACGGCGAGTTTTTGTCACTCACTATTGAAAATCTCTCTGAGCGTCGACCATCACTCGTTATTGGCGACACTGTACGCGCCATTAATCCTTGGTCCAACGAAGATGATAAGCGAAGCTATGACGGTGTCATTCACAAAGTACTCTTCAATCGCGTACTACTCAAATTCAACGAAGGTTTTCAATCAAAATACAATGGAGAAGACTTTCGATTGGAATTCTACTTTTCGCGTTTTGCTTTTCGCAAGCAACACTACGCAGTCAATCGTATAATAAAGCACGTGGGCGAACAATTCCTTTTCCCTTCGCGTGTGTTTACACGTGACGAGC